AAAATTATCAATTATTAAACATTTTATGTGGAATTATAAGTCTAACTTTTTGATCCTTGGGATGTATAGAAGAATATCTCTGCGTGTCCTTGTGCATGTGTCTCTGTGTTTTTTCTGTGTGTACACACATTTGCATGCAAAATATTTCTTCACATTACATAACCTCTACACTGCCTTGTTGAAAAACCCCTCATATTTCTGGTCGGAGGAAATGGTGAAAAACCAACACAAAATCAAAGCACTGGCCTTCCAGGTTGGGCTTTGATAAGAGGCTGCTGATATAACATTTAGTGACTAAATTAAACAATTAGAACACATTTATATAATCAAAGAAATTGTGACTGACCTTGCAACATGGTCCACCAGTTGTGTCTGCAATAGCAGATTCTTGCCAGGAAGCAGGAAGTCGCAGATATTGTTCTGCGAACTTCTGACTGCAACACCATTACCAACACATAGTGAACACAATACATCGAGAACCTTGGGGTCTCGGCCATGCTTCTCCAGCAGAGAAATGATGACTTTAATGTGCTCATCCTGAAATAAATGCAATATACTTTCAAATAGTACATGCAATAATATAAAAACAGATCTATTCTTTGTCATTGTGGTGAGAAATATACATAACTACAATTACAGTGAAAAATTCTGATATTGAATTTCACGCTTCAAAAACAGGAAGTTTGAGAAAAAATGGAAAAAGCAAAATTGGTCCAGACAAAGATATAACTGACACTGCTGTTTTACCCATAGGACAGTTCAACATTAATTTGCAGAGAAAAGTGACAAGATATAAAAATGTTTACATCCATCAAGCTCTACCAAGAAAATAACATAATTGTCAAATTTGCAAAGTTAAGCCACAATGTGCTTCAAAAGTACATTTAAAAAATCAATTAAAATTTGTTAATGGCTTAATAAATAGGTGATTTAAGTTTTACATCCTGTAATTCTTAAACAGAAAAGTATGAATGTTTATTTTCACCAGAACAGAGATGAATATATGGCAAATCCAGGAACTTAAAAATACCATAACACTTACAGAAATGGCAGGACAGTATGAAAATCCCCTTAAATCTACATAAGTTGCTATTATCTGACTTGTACAGGGATCCATACTTGACGCACACTTCTCCTTTCACTGACAAGTTTTTGCATATGATGCTAATGTTGTACAGAGTATAACACTTCAATAAATGCTATTTACATTAACTACTTCCGTACGACAAGGACTTACTGCATTAGCCTACTGACTATCTGTGCATTCTCAGTTCACAAGCAAAGCTTACCCTCATCATGTTCAGAGCTTCAGGGGAATCAATCAGCACGCAGTGCAGTACATCCAGCATCCTGGTGCCTTCCCCAGAAGCCTGTGAGCCCAATCTACCGAATAACCAGTTCAATCTGTTTGTGTCGGCAAACTGGGTACAATTAGTGTGATTCCCCTTGATGATTGCAGCTGCACAAAGCAATAACAAATGTCAGTGTGTTAGCTTACCACTTTGCGCACATAATGCATACTGAATCGGAGTGAATGTGTACGCCAACATTTTATTTGTAAGACACGTAATGCAGTTTGTAGTTCTACATTGGTTTTGCACTCTTAATATACTTATTCTTGTAGTTACAGGCACTGATATTCTGTGTGGTGAAAAATATTACGTTGTTTTTATTTGTTTATTTATCTTTAACATATGAATATTGTGATTTGCTTCTCACTCTTTAAAACACTCATTTTTTGAACGGTCTTATTATCTAAATCTTATTTAAATTATGAGAAACCAATCACAAAATGGCCTTACCAAATCATCAAGATGCCAAATGTGGCATCTGATACTCGAAGACAAA